CAGCGCCATTGGTTTGGGATTACTCACCGCTGACTGGACGAGATATCTGTCAATCAACATATACAGAGAAGAACCAGCCGAAGAACAGCAGAGTCCTGGTAGAAAGTTCAGAGATGGTATTAAAGTAGCTCAGTTTAAATGTGTTGTATGAATTGCCCTTACTCTGGAATAAAAAATATGGAGTGTCTTTTTACATTTAGTTAAAAGTGGCTGTATATCATCAGTTCCAGCGGCGCAGATGGATAAGCACGTATCATTGGCTTTTTGACGCGATCGACCCGGGTTCGATCCCGCCTTTTGCCGAACTTTTTTTCCTCCCTTTTCAAATCTCGTATTAGCAATGGATTCTATTTACACTAAGTGAAAATAGCAGTATTTTTAGCAATATGCTATTTACACTAAGTGAAAATACCTAGTTACACTATGTTAAAATAGCAGGATTTCTACTATCAAGTATACTACTTGTTGCAAATAGTGGCAATTATTTGCACTTCAGTATTGTAGTACATTATAAAACAGTATGCAATAATAACGTATTGAGTGTAAATTTTAAATTGTAGGGATGCCACCTTATTGGTACAATAAAGCCCTCCCTACCCTAACCCTACCCAATACTTTATTTTCAACGTTTTTATTATTTCCTTAATTTTTATTGAAAATAAATGCCTTTACGATGTGATACGAGATTTGAAAAAGGAGAAAAAAATAGTTCGGCAAAAGGTGGAACCGAACCCGGGTCGATCGCGTCAAAAAGCCAACGTCAAGCGCTTATCCATCTGCGCCACTGGAGCTGATGATTTACAGCCACTTTTAAGGTAAGGACAACTCATACAATACTTTTAAACTGAGGTACTTTAATACCATCTCTGAACTTTCTACCAGGACTCTGCTGTTCTTCGGCTGGTTCTTCTCTGTATACGGTGATTGACAGATGTCTCGTCCAGTCAGCGGTGAGTAATCCCAAACCAATGGCGCTGTCTCAAACTATACCTACCTCTTCCGGTTTGTCTGATTTGTCGTTGTGTTTTCTGACTTGTTATTTTGTTTTCGAATTTGTC